TACATCATATAAGTACCTTGGAGTGCACATTACAACTAATCTCAGCTGGTCAACACATATTGAACATATCATCAACAACGCTAATAGCATGTTAGGGTATTTACGCCGCAATTTTTCTAGAGCCCCATCGTCACTAAAATTATCGCTTTACAAATCCTTAATACGCCCCAAGTTAGAGTACGCAGCATCAGTATGGGATCCAAGCCAAGAAAATCTAATCGCTTCTCTCAAGCTTGTTCAAAATAATTCCGCTCGCTTTATCCTGTCAAACTATAACCGTACTGCCAGCATATCTTCAATGAAAAGCAGCCTTTCCCTTCCCTCTTTATCATCACGCAGGAAACATTTTCGGTTAACCATGCTACATAAAATATATTATCATTCCTTCCTGCGCAACGAACTCTTACCCCAACCACTATACATTTCCCATCGCGTTGACCACCGTCACAAGGTTGGCATTAACTATTATCATACAAAATCTGCCACTCAGTCATTCTTGCCCCGTTCGTTTCGGGAATGGAACTACCTTCCCGCTGAAATTGCGGGTATCACCGATAACCAACTGTTCCGTGCTGCCTTAGCCAATATTGTATATGCAGAAATATCTGATGTTTAATCTGTGTTTGTGTGACCACATTGTTGCGATAATACTAATTTGTTTTGTCTTTCCTTTTCCTTTTTATGTACACAACGTTTTTTGCAACCATGCTACCTCATGTTATGCCTTTGTTCTGTACCACTACCCTCTGTAATGCCTCTGGCCCTGAGGGTATAATAAATAAAAATAAATAAATAAATATGATTATGAGAGACGCCGTAGTGGAGGGCTCAAAATTTCGACTACCTGGGGTTCTTTAACGTGCACCCAAATCTGAGCACACGAGCCTACAACATTTCCGCCTCCATCGGAAATGCAGCCGCCGCAGCCGGGATTCGATCCCGCGACTTGCGGGTCAGCAGCCGAGTACCTTAGCCACTAGACCACCGCGGCGGGGCAATATGAATGAGTTAAGGTGGACGGAAAATTAACTCTGGCGCTGGTAGGGACTGAAACTTCAACCTCTGGACAACTTGTTCGATGGCGATACGGCACGTGTTGCATGTTGACATCATTGTTTCGGCACGCAAAGCTTCATAATTTTCCCTTTTACTAGACACGTTGTTTCTGCAATCGTCTGTCTCACAAAGTCGTATCCATGTTGTCATGTGCCAGCTATAGCAGAATAAACATATCTTAGAGGTAATGAGTGAACCCCCTGCGTACAGTATGCATGCCGATCAGCCGATAGCTCTCCCCAACAACGCGACGGCACATAGCGATACGTGTATGCATCCTGCTTCTTCTTCACGCAATTGTTGTTGCTCCAAGTTGCGAGAACAATGAACGTAAGGTCACGACCTCCCCAACCCTCTCTATTTACGCGCGAAAGTATAAGGGATCGTCTTCGCAAAGCATGCATGCATGCAGCCGCGACCCTCTCGACGCATTTATACCCCTGAGATGGTCATCCTATGCAGACGTTGTGAGGCTGCCGTGCGATTGTCCCAAGTCACGTATTCAGTCAAGTGTATCGCCGGGACAGAATTTCGTATACATGCAAGGCGTTTTCTTTTTGAATGAAACCTCGTCAGGCGCGTCAACAAAGAGTGGGCACTTTCGGTAAGGGCGCATCCTGTGTGTGTATGCATGCGACCACACGTGGCAACTACAGCACTGTTGCATGCACGCACGTGTCTTTTCAGAAGATTAAAGAGATACCTTCTTTCTACACAATGGCGTGGGAATACAAACGCTGACCTCACTGAGCTGACGTCATGGGGGGTCACGCCTACTTACCACAACACAGAGGATAAAAGGTGTAGGCTGTGTGTAAATTGTTGCTGTGGGAACAATTACCTCGTTGGGTGTGAGGCGTGAGATAAAGTGAAGATGCTCTGACGTCACCGGAGGTGTGACCAGCCGTATTGAGACCTTCCGCAATCGTAACTCGAGGTTAACTTCCGCGGCGTGAAAAAGTATCTACGTACTACTATTGGTGGACGTAGGTAGAATGTATGTAACGGCATTAACGAACACAATAAAAAAGTCATACACTTCGTCGTATCGATTCACGGGAGCCTTCAACACAAACCTGTGAAACGAGAGCAAAGCGCTTTTTGTTTTGTTTTGTTTTGCACGTGAATATGTCCTTGTCTTTGCGAACACTGTTTTCCACTCACCTTATAGCAATCAATTACTTTATTTTATTGCAGAAGTTGGCCCTACGGCATCAATACATATTAAACAGAATTATGCAGCTTCGTTTCCTCCATAAAGTCGAGGAGAAACCTTACAACAGATGGCTGACGCAGCCGTTTGGATCGTGCGGGCACAGAGTTGATGCAATGAAGCGCGATAACTATAAATCCGGAAAATCATAAAACTGGTTAAATCGTACAGAAAAATACCCTCTGAGCATACAATGCAACAAAAGAGAAAAAAAAAGCAAAATGAAGGTAAGCACATGCCGGGTCGCAAGAGCACGCTCTTTGCGCCGGGTGTACACTCAACGATTTTGCTGCATGCGAAAACTTAATGACCGCCAAGCGCGCGGAACGAGCGCCACTCGACCAAAAATGCAGCCAAGGCTCAAGAGTTTTCCTCGACACTAAATTGAACTTAAGTTGACGATGTCTGGCGGATTTGTTCGTCCTATGTTCTCGTTGTTCTACATTATTCTGCTATTCGCTATACATAAATTGTTCAACTGGGGAAGCTACAGTGTAAAATAATTTTATAATTGATATTCTAATCTTTCCATTTCCTTGCAAAAAGAAAAACAACACTGCCTTCGTCAAAGCGTTTTATCCAGCATATGTGTAAGTCAACTCACCCCAAGCTCGTTAAAAATTGTCTGCGACAGCGAGGACGCATGCGCGCTTATTCCATTGTGTGTCTGCCCATTTCCGTCGCCTTACTATAGGACGAAGTCATGCTTACGAGGCTTTTAGGGCAGGTGTGGCGCTTATGCCGGCTGTACATCTCAACGTAGAACTGATGGCATTTACCATTGAGTCTCACGTAAAGAAATATTCACGATTCTTTTTTTAATATTTAATGATGCCATCGAGGAGGCAGTGACTGAACATGAGGTTCACGAGTTTGTTCGTGAAAATCTCAAGGGGTGCATTACCTCACACGTCCGCGATTTCCCGTCCCACGCGCAAAGGCGCATTGACGCACGTACTAGCCCACGCTGAGACCTCTCCTTAATAAAAGGGTAAAACAAAGAAGCAGCCGGCGAAGATGAAAAGGTTTTTTTTTTTTTTAATTGCCAAGCAGCAGACGGGGGACGTTGCGCGTGTATGCCCCGACATCTCGTATATACCACGTTTTCTCAGACGTGAAACAATCGTTCTGAAGTATTCCTCTTTTTTTTTCTTTACTACACTCGAACTTTATAAGCTAAATAGACCTGGAATTTCACGTGGGCAAGTGTACCACGTGCGTGCGAATAGTTTGCCGCGGTGTGAGAGCTGTGCAGGAGTGTCGTGGGAGCGTGAGCAAGCGGCAGAGAGGAAAGACGCCGCCTTCTTTGAAAAGCGTGGTTTGCCGTCGGTGTGTGGAACGAGAAGGAATTCGTAAAAAAAAAAAATGACTGCTATAGTTTGGGAACTTCTCGTCGATTGAAGCAGGAGGTGACCTTCAAGCCGACATGCGCTACAGACAACCACCGCTGCGTGGTATGCATGCTCCATCGGGTTCGGTATGAAGAGCATAAGGGACTTTTGAAAGATCATAATAACATCTGGGGTGTTACGTCTCAAAACCAAGACACGATTACGAGAAATGCCGAAGCGAAAAGCTTTGGCAGGGGACTCGCTCTCTGGATTTCGTGCCGACCGGTTGTGCCCCCGCGATCTCCAACGACAGCGCAGCTCTGGCCGACTGGGCTCGCCATACGCCATCTCCTGGCGACGACAAGAGCTCTCGCCGAGTGGTGCCCCGACCTCGGACTCCTGCGACCGTGTCCATCTTTCCTATCTCCTCTTTACTTCCATCGTTCGCAGTCCCTGCACCTCGCTCTCTCCTTCCTCTCTCAATCTATCTCTTTACCTTTTAATCCTACCCTTTTAATCCCTCTTTTACCCCCACCCCTCGTGAGCTACTGTTGAGGTGTCCTCCCCCTGAGAGACAGTTACGGGGCTCACTCTTCTCTTCTTTTCATTTAAAATTACTCACATCACTCGCACACAGCTCCGGCAGTTTCGACATTCCGGTGTTCTGTATCTTCCACTCACATTGCACTGTACACAGGCCTACACCGTATCGCCTTGATCGAAATGCGACCGTCGTGGCCGGGATCGCCTTTGTATCAGCAACCGAGCACTACAATAGCTGCTCCACCGCGACAGACAGATCTTTGGAAGATTGCCGCATGTAACGTCAAAATTATAACTTCTCTCCCGTGATCATCAGGCCCGCATGGATTCGTGAATGGGGGGGGGGGGGGCTCAATATGTTGCGTAATCGCGATAACAGCCTATAGATTAGGCTAGAAGTGGTATGTATATAGCTGCAGTGCAGTACTACCTTACATGCTTAACACACGTATACAATACTTCAAGCGCACGTTTTTTTTCTTTGTTACCTGAGAGCCAACAGATAATCAGGCCAAGCAACGTATATACAGGCGTCGTTATTTGCATTAATTATTGCAGAAATATGTATATATTTACATCACGGTTACGGCAAATAAAGTTCCTTGCTTGGCTTGGCTGTATGTTGGTTCTCATAAAGCTTGTATCGCATATACAACTATTTATTTCGCAAGCTATGATATGCGTTTGAACTGACGAGCACTGCGCATCATACATTATACCAAAGCTTTTTTATAGTCTTATATTCGCAACGAAACACCGCATATAGCGAAGAGAATTCGCTATCAGAAGAGCTGGCTGTTTATAATGCGATACGCTAGCACAAGATATAAATATCGATGTCGCGGCAAACCAAGCACCTCGTCTCGCAGCCCCTGGAGCTGCGCCACGTGGTCGTCCAAACTAGAGCGGCGCATGGACAGCTGCTGCCTCAGGCTCCGGTACTGTCCGGCCGCCTGGTCTTCGGCCCTTCGCGCCGCCTTCAGCTCTTGCGCCAGCCTCTGGTTCTGGTCGGTCATCTCGTGCACCAGGGCCCCCCTCTCCTTCTCCAACGCTCGTAGCAGCTCCTGCTGGTCGGCCAGCTGCTGCCTGGCCTGCGACAGGTCGGCCTGCAGCTCGGCCAGCCGGCTGTCGCTCTCGCCCGACAGGGACTCCAGCTTGCGACGCAGGGCGTGCTTCTCCTGCTCCAGCACCTGAGGCATCGGATGGAGAACCACGGTGAGCGACACTCGATGTAACATTTTTAAACACACGCCGTCCAAATACGGACGCAAGAAAATAGTCAAGACGTCACAAACGCCCCCGCTAACAACTGACAACTGCCGCGCGCACACGCGCGATATTGCCTTTGTGGACCACTGCATTGCAGCCAGGAAGAGTTCAACAATTCAAATGCCCCCCCCCCCCCTCTTCCACCACCTCCGTATTCCATGCGTATGCCTACTGTTATGTGATAAAAAAAACAGGCAAAGATACTATTTAAACTAAATCTAAGGGAGATGTCTACCGAATACAATGCTATGATACAGATGCGAAAACACGAACGCACAGATATGCCGCGATTCCCCCACCTCTCCGAAAAATGAAGTCTTGGCTACGCTTCTTTCGTATATATCGTGTATATGCATGCAAGCGAACACAAATTTCAGTTGCTTCTTGAGAAACGCAAGTGTAGTGCCGTTAATATGTGGTATACGATGTGTGGTATATGTGGTACGCGCGTCTATACTCAAACCAACGATAAACACAAAATTAAACAGCAAGGCTCTCCGCGCGAAGTTCGTACTGTTCACTTCAAGTATTATTTCCCGAAGCGAACGAAACGCTGTAAAAATTAAAGTTCAGTTACACCACAACCGCTCAAAAGTTTTCACTGAGGGGCGGGTTGTACACGGTTTCGAGCGCCGTGTACTTATATACACACAATCAAGCGCTGTCTGACATGTGTTCCACCCTCTCGCACACAATGCATCACAATCAATATTGAATGTCGACTTAAAAAAGTCGGCGGTACGTGAAAAATATTTTGTTAAATGGAAAAGTTCATTATCGCATAATCATTAATTCACTCACGACAACCACAATATAATTATTTAAAAAAAATGTCATTATTATTCGGCAGCTATGCTAAACAACAATCCACATATGGCGTCCAGTGTTCCTTCGTGAGAGGAGTGAACTTCCTTGACAGAGAGTCCAATGTGAGTCACGTAAACTGAAGTCAGGAATACCCACGTGGTTATTAAATGCGTATTTTATGCCCTTTTCGGAATCAGTCTGTCAAGAACTTCAATAAAAGGTCCTGAGGAGTCTAAACCTCCAAGGTGGTGGCTTGAACCAAGCACCAAGGTGGTGGCTGATGTATGGTATAAACACCACATATCAGCCGCTACCGTTAATTGACGACGCCCGAGCCGGGGCGGGAACGTGGTGGCGTTCCGGCAGTTCTTGGGCCCTCTGGACTGCTCTTAGGTCGTGGTGGAGCTCGGGACTCCTGAGCACCTATTCCCAGTCGGACTCACTAGTGAGAGGTCCCTGAGGGAACGCGGGACTTTGCCAGAGCGCGTGAAGGAGTGAACAGTATACACTTCTGTGCAGTCTGGGCATTGTTGATTTAGGTCTGAGACAGTAACGGCTGAGTCGGCCTCGTGATGGGTATGATCTCGTTTGCAGCATGCGTTTTCCATAGTACCCTTCGGACTATGGAAAATGTTGGTTGGGCTGAGTCTGCCGAGTCCGCTTCGACACTGTGCAGCTCCTGACGCTGTTAGGTTCTGCGTTAGGGAATGAAAAAGGTTGACTTCGTCATTTTTAACATGGCTCATTATCTTTTTCCTGGCCCGACAAGAGCCACAAGTTCGCAGACTCTCAGATAATGTTGACTCACTTTTGTCAACTGAAGGTGTCTCGCCAACGCCTCATTATCACTAACAACCAGCCCGACTTACTCGCTCGAAATGTTTTGTTTGCTCGCTGATACATATAAACATGTTCTATCTGTAGATACGCTATTCACGACTACAGAAAGAGAGTGGTGGTTGAGGGGCAGCAAGAGACAAAAAAAAAAGACTGCCAGCTTTCCAGTCAGTCTTGTACATGTATTTCATTTTCGCTAGGACAATGACTAAAAAAGCACAGTATAAAACATGTAGAAGAACAAGGTAAACAGATGTGCCACTACCCGCTCCCCTGTCGACCAAATGAATTTCCACACCGTCCCAATGGGCTATGCGAGCATGCCTGCAGAGTATGCCCATCCACAACGCTTAACGCCATATCCTGTGAGGGTGAAATGGAAGCGCAAAAAGAATAGTTGAGTCCAACACGAAGACAATGTGAATGCTTCCTTTCACACTCGCTACATCGCGACACGCGGCCGGTGCCATGTGGAACACGTCCACAACGAACTCAACACTGTACAAATAATGAAGGTTGTTTTATCGTTTTTGCTGCGTGTATATTGTCTCAATACTCGATGCTCTTTCTGTGTACAGAAGTGTGAATCGGTTTCAGTTGGTTTACACATACTTTTAGTAAATTTATGGATCTCTCAGACTGTACAGGCCAAGAGTTGGAGAAACAAAAACGCTGCGCTGAAGGAAACATGCTACGCAATCTATAGCGTTCGAGCACATACTTATGATTATGAAACGCCGTCTTTAAGAGGAACAAATCACAACCGACAAGCAGCAGCGTTTACAATGCAAGCATGGCACGGAGTAAACGCCTAGTTTTTATTCAGGCTCCTACGTATGCAGCGCGTGTTACGAGCCAAGGGGATGTGCAAATCAGTCTCTCTGCAATAAGCCAGTGCTTTTTAGGAGCGAAGCTCCTTAAGGCGTGGGCTGTGCGTCCCCTGTATGTAGCCACCTCTCGTTCAGTTCTAAGTATTACGCTAGCCACCGCCCGATCTAAAGGGTACAGCCATATCCATCCGTCTATCCGTCCATCCGTTCGTCCATCCATCCATCCATCCATCCATCCATCCATCCATCCATCCATCCATCCATCCATCCATCCATCCATCCGTCCGTCCGTCCGTCCGTCCGTCCGTCCGTCCATCCATCCATCCATCCGTCAATCCACCCATCCGACCATCCGTCTGTCCGTCCATCCATCCGTCCATCTGTCCGTCCATCCGTCCGTCCGTCCGTCCAAAAGATGCAAGATGTTATAAACTAGACGGCGGTACGTGTAGTTGATTATGAAAGATGCGAGGTGTTATAAAATAGGAATGATGCCACATATGGCGCGTGTCATCGTTCGATATAGTGCGGCGACGTACGCTAGGGGGAGCGTTGCAATAAAATCGAGTGGGCAAAATGTACGGAGGATTCATGGTTTACCAGGTTTACCTCCGGAGCTTCGCCCACTCATCATCATTCACTTCGTGGATATGGCGGCATTTTTTTGATTAACAATCGTTCTTGTGGAGGCAAGCAAGGCCGAAACACGAGTAATATTAATTCTGACTCAGATCCCCCGTAAGATTAGACCACCACTGTATACACCTAAGGAGCTGTAAAGCAGCGGCAACAAAAAACAAAAACGCAGCCCATAGCGTGCAAACGAGTTTACACTAGCGAGCGTGATTCCATGTTACAAAGCTAGCAGTCGAGGAGCTTCTGGTGGACGTGTCATGTACGAAAGAGTCACTTGGACGATCTAAGAATAACATCACGTATTATGTCGATGGAAAAGTGGCGCGTTTCTTCTCACTGTGGCTCTGGAATCGGGCCCGTATTCACAAACCAACCTCATCTTTTCCTCGAGTTTTCCTTGTCGGTTTTAAACCTCTATTGCGCGTGATGAACATATTGGGCCAGTATTCACGAACCAGTCTTGTCCTTGACGTTCACTCTGTCATCATTTTTGGGCCTTTATAGCTCACGTAGAGAGTGCTGAAGGTTGAGGGAAACGTGAGGTAAGGCCGAGGTTGGTTTGTGAATACGGGCCTTAGGGATGCCGGTAAAATATATCTAGAACCGCGAAGCGACGTGGCATTGGTTACCAGGCGCCCGGTGAACGGGTGTCCCCTGTTCACTGGCACTAGCGAAATAAAGACATTTATAATATTGCACAACGCCAAGTAGAGCCGTAGCTTCAATTGAAATCTCACGGCGGTGTTGTGACGTCATAAGTCGTTTTAGGTTATGTCACGTGACTGTTCCGCATGTGACGGCGGACAGAAGTTGCGCCATAGGTAGCATGCGACGTCATGGACGCAGCTTCCGCACCTACTGGCTCTAATGACGGACAACTTCACTGCTAATCTGCTTCAATGTGACGACGACGTATCAAAAGAACGCGTTTAAGCGTGAATAAAGAAAGATAAAGAAAGTACTCGCATGCGATGTTTTGATAAAATTTAATGTGCCATCGCAAACTTCGCGTCTCCACATGCTGTGGATACAGCTTGGTTTTAATAACATCGCTACAAGCCATATATTGCGCTATTTTGTTGTCGGAAACACGGTGTATACTCGCGAACAGACACAAAAGCTTGCGAAAGCAGCTGATTCGCCGTTACAGGAGAGCTAGGCGAGAGTTTCGTACGTAAGTTCGTGCGAAAGCTGGAACACTCGCTGGGCATGTATGTACCTCGAGTTCCTCGAGCAGTCGGCCATCGAGTTGACGCAGTGTCCGGGAGAGGGCATCCCTTCGGGCGGCGTTGCACAACGCGTCTTCACAAAGCAAACGTAAAACTGGCTCCGGACATCCGCACAGACCGCACTCCTCCGGACTGGCATCCATGCCGAACGAGAGAAGCGGAGAGCGCGATCGAGAAAGTGAGGGCGGACAGCAGCCTGCCTCGCAACAAGGCCGATACGTGGCGGAGATTAGGGCCTCGGGACAGAAGGTCAGGGGTGTGGCGAGGCGACCATAAGCGACAGCGTTCTATTATTGCCACCGCGCTGGGGAGAGCGGCTATGCCGCAGAGTGATACTTTTGGCAAGCATGAGAAAAAGTTGATCTGCATGCATGCTGAGATAGTCTGCATGCGAGTGAAGTCACTCAAGAACCATGGCCAACTTGAGGCACGACGGTGAAAGCGTACGCGATGTGCCTGCCGAACGGGCTGCGACAAGCTGTTTCCTGTGGCACCACCTTTCTATGCATGTCGATGTCTCGGAGACTGATCGGACGTGCAGAGTGCGTACTAAGAGCTAACACAGCCACGTCATCTTCTGGC